CAAACACACGTTTCTAGCTCAACTCCATCATCATCCTTTCGCTCTACGTATAACCATCCTCGCCGTCCATTAATTTTGCTAAATAGGAAAGATTTCACTCCCATGTCATCGACTATATATTCCGGACGGTTTCCATCCATTACAATTGGAACAAAACTCAGTTTCGTCTTTCCTAAATCAACGGTTAGCTGGACACAGACAGTTCCGACAAGTTCCTCGTGTGTTACTTCGCTTGCTTTGTTAAAAATGCATATTGTCTTCGAACAATCATCACTTCCCTTCCATTCAAATAATCCATCATCATTTTTTCCCCAAAAACTACCATACCGAATACAAATACATGTATAACAATCTTCAAAACCATCCATAATCCTGTCAAATGAACCAAAATTTGTCATTCTCATCAACAACCCAAAAATTTCAGACATTTAAATGAAACCCTAGAACAGAATTTAAGGCACAATAATAAACTAAAATGCTTGGGTTTTACTCTCATTATACCTGTATAGGAGATTTAGTTTCGAAAGCACAAAAAAAAAACTGATCACAAGCTTGATTTAAAGCTCCGACAGAGCTTCAATGGCGGACGGAAATGCGCACGATCGGGATGAAACAGGGAGAGAGATGAGAGAGAAGCACATTTAATTTATCTCAATATTTAATATTCACACGTTTTTAATATCAGATTTTCAAGCGAAAAAACATTTCATTTCTTTTTCAATCAAAACGAAACATTTCATTAAATGAGTATTTAGGTCTTTTGTCATAAAAAGTAGGGTACAAACTGCAACGTTTTTTTCAGGTATTTTTTGGTTGTGTACAGAAGAAATTCTTGTGACACATCTGGACTATTTAAGTAATAAACCCCGTTCAACCGCTTTTTTAGTTTTTTACTAGCACAAAAATCCGGGTTAATATAATGCACATATATTTATTCAGGTCATTATCAAAACTATAAGCTATTTTGACTGCCTATTAATCTCTGATGAGTAAAATAGACGAGAAATAAATATAATAAATTAGTATGATCAGTATAAATTTAACGTTATGATTAAAAAAATCAAAATATGACCAGATTATATTTATGGTTATATAGATCACAGAATTAAAGATGAAAAAAATGTATGTATTAAAGTCAAAACAGAGAGAACGTATTTTTGATATAATGTCTATTTATTTCACCCATAAAAAAATCCTAAACACATAAAATTATGAAAACTAACTGCTTGTTTGAAAAATATATTGCCGAACTTACAACATATATAATTATAATTTTTAAAATTGAAAAATACATCAATATAATTTCTAAAATAATCTTTGGATCAATATCATCGAAGTTTTAAGTTTTAAGAAGGGATAATCACATAAAAATACCCGAACTTTTACAAAAATCTCAAATAAATATCCGAACTATAAAATTATCATATAAATACCTGAACTTTTAAAAACTCCCACATAAATACCCAGACTTTTAAATTTTTTCTAAATCAAACAAACACAACTGCTGACTCAGCAAAAAACTGCTGACTCAGCAAAAAAAACTGTTACTCAGCAAAAAACTGCTGACTCATCATTCAAAAATATTATTAAATATCCAAATATTCATCTACATATATTTAAATTAATATATGCATATAAATTCACATATATATACAAATATATATATATATATATATA